AAAAATTTTTTTGATGATCATAAAAATGTGCGCATTTATTATGTAACACAAACCCCGGCATAAAATTTCCAACACTGGATGGTGCATCTGTGATGATGGGTAAAAGAGAAGGTGTTGCTGTAAAACTATCAAGAATCTGCCCCTATTTAATGATCAATCACTGTGTTGCTCATCATTTAGTGCTAGCTTGTAAAGATGCTAGATCTGATATTCCTTTTTATTATAAATATTTTAAAAACTCAACTGTTAGGATCCAAAATCTTCAATATTATCAAGAAATACTTGATAGTCCAAAACTAAGAATAAAAAATTATTTGATATACGTTGGCTGGGTTGGTATGAAGCAGTTAAAAATGTATGTAATACATTACCAGCTTTACTTCATACATTTAGAAATTCAAACAATGATGCAGCAAAATCATTATATGTACAACTTTGTCAATGGAGAATGCTAGCATTTTTATTTTTTTTTTATGATATTTTACATCACCTTACTCAATTAAGCAAGCATTTTCAAAGAACAAACCTTAGATTTAGTGACATTGATCCTATGATATCAGCAACAATTAAAATTATTGATTCTGAATATATCACCATGGAAAATAATGGAAGCAACTTTGGCACACATTTGCAAGAATTTATTAACTTGACTAATCCTTTCACAAATTCTTCAATTAATTTTCATGAACATCAACTTTATTATAATGAGAATGATTATGGTGATTTACTGTTTGATATACATACATATGCTTCTATGATTATAAACCAAATACAAGAAAGATTTCCTGAACATTCTCTAATTAAAGCAATGAAAATTCTAAATCCAGTTGAATGGCCAGATAAGGATTCTATTGAATTTATAAATTATGGAAATAATGAATTAGATACTTTATTAAATTTTTATGGAAAACAAAAGAAAGTTAATCAAGAAGTTTTTTTCCTCCAGTAAATTACAATGAATGTTTTGGAGAGTGGTATAATTTTAAAATTATAGTTTTAAATAATTATGGCAAAAAATATATGCAGTCAATACTTCCTCTTTTTATTAATGATTATTCTGATATATTTCCTAACTTAATTAAATTGATTAAAATAGTATATAGTATTCCTTTTTCATCTGTAGATTGTGAAAGAGGGTTTTCTTGTCATAATATAATTAAAAATAAGATGAGAAATTCATTAAATACAGTAACTTTAGATATGTTAATGCGAGTATCTTTGGAGGGTCCACCAAGTAAAGAATTTGATTTCAATAGAGCATATACTATCTGGAATTCAATGAAAAAAAGATATGGAGTACATGAATAAATTTAATTATAAATAAAAATTTATTATTTATATTTACAAATAAAATTTTTTTTTGCTGGAAATCTTTCCTATTGTAAAAAAATTTGTTGGAAAAATGAGAATTCTGCCAGAAAAAACCGGCAAATTAAAGTAGTGATGTGATTGACCAGAAAAAACACTTTGCGTAATCAAATTGCTCAACCAATATATTAATATACATGTGTTTTGTATCTTCTATCCAAAGAAATCTTTGGAAGCTTAGAAATTACCTACCATTAACATTACTATTTATTGCTAATAAACAAACTATAATTAATTTTTAAATGAAAATACATAGATACATACATACATATGTATATAATTCACGTACATATACAAAAATATAAATATAAACCTATTATTCTAATATTCTAGTATATTCTATAATTGGATTTTTGGGTTGAGCTATCATGGTAGTATAATCAATGTCTGGAAATTTTTTATTTATCAAACATAAATCAAATGTTCTAACAAATATTGCTATAATTGTTTTAATTTGTAAATATGCAAATGTTTCTCCAATGCATCTATGACGTCCTGTGAAAATAATAAATGTATTATTACTAAAATCTATTTATTATAGTAAATTTAATTAATAATAACCATAATTTACCTGCACCAAATGGAATAAATGGTGATTTGGCACTAGCAGAATGCAAAACACCAAATCCATAATCCACAAGATCATCATTCCTTTCCTTAACTAAGTTGCTCTTATCAAACTCCTCCCATCTACCAGGATTGAATGTCTGTGCATTTTCAAAAAATTCATCTGAACATGCTGAAACCACTGGAATAGCCTGGATGTAGTAATCTTTTGGTATGACATAATTTGTACCTGGAATTTTCATATCTCTAATAACTTTACGAATAATTGTAAGAATAGGTGGTCGTAAACGCAATGTCTCCCTAACAACATTGTCATGCAGTGTCATCTCCTTCAATGCCTCAAAAGTTAATGGAGCATTAAGTGATCCCAACACTCTGATTTGTTCTTGTCTTAATTTCTCAAATAATTCTGGACTCTGGGCAAGGTAAAGAAAAGCCCATGCACTTGTTGTAGAGCTTGTATGTTGACCTGCCATTAACATTGCAATCATAATATGTGCTGCTTCTTCATCTGATAATTTTTTGCCATCTTTATAAACACAATCTTTTGTCAAATATTGCATAATGTCTGTACCATCAGTGACACCTCTTTCACGACGTGATTTCATTATATCCAAAAAGAAATTACGCATTTTAATGTGTGCTTGATCACGTAATTTGTTGGCTTTTGTTGGTAAATTCTCAAAAAGAAAATTTATTGGTCTAAAGCCACCATCAAGATCATGGAATATTTGTGCAACTAAGAAATTAATCAGTGAATTGAATGATAAAAATATTTGTAGAATATTTTTAATGATAAAAATAATAAAATATATTTACATGTTTCATCAAGTTTTGATCGAACTTCTTCTCCTAATAAACATTTAGAAGCTGTCATAATGATTAGTTCAGCTGTTGCTTTATGAATATCTTCAATTCCAGTTTTTTTATTCCATCTGATAAAATAATTTTTAGTTTCCATTTCAATCATTGGAACATATGCACGTAAATTTTCATTTGAAAGTCCAGATTTAACAAATCTATTATATCATATTATATTACATTATTTAATATGCTATAATATAATATTCTACTTAAAATTAATTAAAATTGAAAAAATATACTTTTTTTGTTCCATTAAAATAGAATTATGTACATCATAAACCACACCTTTACCAAATATTGGTACTGTTAATCCTTTATATGCTTCTTCAGCTGATGCGTCTGCTACTTTTGCATTAAACAAAAAATTGTTACCACTTGTTCCAAGACATGTCACCATTCTTCTACCCAATAAAATAAATGTGAAATAATCTCCATACTATTTAAGTGGCAGCATACACATAATAAAAATATTAGCAAAAAAAAATCTTTAAAAAAATTACTTTTATTTTATTATTTACCTTTTCTTGATTTTTTCGATAAAATTTAATTGGATCTATTCCCATTGTCATAGTTGACCCAATATATGGAATCCAATATGGTACTATTGGTGGTTCATTTTTACGTGGTTTTATATACTATCCATCATTAAATTAACTCAATTAGCAACTGATAGTTAATTAGATATTATATGTATTCTATATGCATTTTTATGTAATATTTACCAAAATATTTTTCACCAAATAAGCAAAAGCCAAAGTACTTAATATAAAACAGCCACTCATTACTAATACATTATTAACTGATGCTCCTTCGAAATATGGTGCAACAGTTGGATATTTTCTATTAATTGTCACATTTACATTAATTGCAAATGGTACTAAATATTGTGAATATATATTTGTTAAAACTTCTTTAGTTGCCATTGTTTGAATTTTTTTTCTTTTTGCTTGAGATGCCGAAAAAAAAATTTTTTTTTAAACCGAAATCCGTCGTACAATTAATTTTAAATATTAACTTTAAAATTTTTTTTGATAATCTAAATTATTCGAACTCATAAAGGAAAATCCTATACAGTCCATAAATGCACCCCCTGGGACCGAGGGACAGCGTGCGTGTGCATTTATAGAGGGGACAAATTTCTTTGGTTGCACGTGTTTCACGATATTTAATACTTATTACTATCTAGGGGTTAGTTAATTTAATGAGGGTACAACTAAAGGTTTTACAATAATTTTAAAATAGTGATCATCCACCATTTATAACGGCCCTTTTGGAAATTTTTGATGGAATATTATTTGTTTCTTGATTAAAAGTGCCATCATCAACAACAACAACAGAATCAGAATCAGTGTTTATATAACTACAAATTAAAAAATTAATTAAATAATTAATTTTACATAGCAGAGAAAAGACCACAGAGATGACCAATAATCATTCTTTTCTTTACTGAAGCCCCAATTATTTTTCAACAAATAAATTATTTTTATTTTTTTCTTTCAATTAAAGTAAAAGCTAACTTTCTTTGGTAAAAAATTTTTTGAAGATTTCTGGTAAATATTTCCTAAACCGGGCATTCCCCTGATATTTTTGATCCCACATTTCGCACCCTGCTGGACAGAGCATAGTGGACATTTGATTTCATTGGCTAAATTATGTGACGATCTCCCCTCCAGATATCACGCAAAAATTAAATTT